GTGTGAAAGCCTCTTTACTAATATATATATATCATATAGCAACATATTAGCATTTATAACAACAGCCATGGCTTATTAGAAACTGATGAAACTCAACAACAATAAAATCTGCAGATGTAAATTAATATTAATATTACCATACTCCTAACAATCCTGGACTCATGATGGACAATTATTGTTTTAAAGTAGCCTATCAAAATTGTTTTAGCAGAAACAAAGATATCGTCAAAACCTGGTGCCTACATTATCCATAACTTGACCACCGACAGTTAGATCACTTCGATATTTGGTTGTTTTAATAGCAGCTAATGTCAGCTTCAAGCTGTTAGCCTCAGAGACTGTTTAGAAAGGAGACATCACACTGAAGAGTCATTTCCTGGATCTGTCACATGGGTCTAGCCACTGCCCTTCCCCTTTAGGAGACTAGAGGTCAGTGTTTTCACTCCAATGGGAGAAGTGAACATGAGCACAGATCATGACCAATTATTTCGCCCCATAGTCAATAGTCATAGTAAACGTTCGACCCATTTTTCACAAGCCACATATCTATCTCTAACATTCAGACAGTAAAATGCAATTTGTCAAACATACGAATCACAAACAAATAACTTTGGTTGAGACCTGTCTGCCTCATCAGGAAAACACTCGCGAGATCTGGCAACGCAGATATCTCTTCTCTTTGTTAGTGCTGAATCGTCGGTCTAATGTCACCAATGATAACAGTTGAACTAAAACTTAAATAACTTTCTGAACCGTCCCTAGCACAACCCAATCGACTTTCAGCCATCTATGCAACATACACAACACTTGAGGTGAGGGGGGGGGATCATGCCCACTTAGGAGACAGCAAGTGTATACCATTTCATATAATTGTGGCAGCAACTGTTAGGTGCAACATCCCAGATCTTTTGAAATGTTTAAACTTGTAGTTTTGAGACTGGACCAATGCACCGATTTCAAACTATTCTCTCTGGAGCCACAAAAGGCTTTTTACAACTTTTTTCACCTCCTCCAGCTGTAAACAGGTTTTGATGTGTAAAACCCTCTTTTCCAGAGGGTCACAGGTCAGGTGGAGAAAAATGAAATGCAACATAAGTGTCATATTGGAGGAGGATGAAAACCAGCCAAATTTGCACAACTTGGCAACCAACAAAAGTTCTTATGAAAGGCTTGTGACTGATCTATGAAGTATTAGTAATTGCTTTATTAATGGTCCATTATTATTAGGTGGTACTGTTATTCACAATGTAATCGTAATCTCAGCTGAAATATCTGTTTGCTTATGTTTGGCTTTGTTCCTATCTCCTGTAACATCCTCTCTAGCTGAGCAGGGTTTCTTCATGACAGAGGTGACCCCAGGAGGCGTGGCTCACAGGGCAGGGGTCAAACTCAACGACCGCCTGCTGGAGATCAACGGGGAGAATGTTGGAGACTGCACACACGATCAAGTAGTGGACAAGATCAAACTGGCTGGCAGCAGCCTAATGATCCTGTTGGTGGATGAGGAAACAGACAGGTTCTACAGGAACAAGCGTATAAAGATAGGAGCATGGTTAGCCACAGCCAAGTATCTCCCACACAAGCCACGCATCATCAACATGACCAAAGGATCTGATGGCTATGGCTTCCTCCTCAGGGAGTATCCCGGGCAAACAGGCAAGGCCACGATGAATATATTATAAATAAGTGGTATTTTGATGAAGATTAAACCACGGAGAGATGGATGTATTTTGACATTTTTCTGATTAATTGCAGGCCACTTCACCAAGGATATAGACAAAGGCAGCCCAGCAGAAAGAGCAGGTATAAAGGAAATGGACAGACTAGTGGCTGTGGATGGCAAGGAGGTGGACGGCTGTAGCCATGAGCAAGTGGTGGACACGTTCAGGCAGAGTGGCAACAACTGCTGCCTCCTAGTGGTGGACAAAGAAACGGACCAAATGTATAAGCAGGTGAGTCGGGGTGCCAATGTCAAACTCTAGTAAAGGCTGCAGACAATCAATTTAATGTCATGGTTGTATCCCTCAACAGGGGAAAGTGTCTCCTATGCTCTTCTATGAGGAGATGCAGGAATCCAACTCACCGCCCAGTTACACAGAGGCCTTAAATTTACCTACTCCTGTCCGACCATCCACAACTGTTCAGGAGAGGAAGCAGGAGCTTAGGCCTAAACTGTGTAAGATGGAGAAGACCTCAGCTGGCTATGGCTTTCACCTAAACGGCATCCAGGGGGTGTGTGGACAGTACATCAAGGATGTAAGAATTTAGTTAATCAATTAATGAATTAATTGCCATTTAATTATTAGAATTTCAAATCAAACGGTAAGACACACTTTGTTTCAGGTGGTGAAGGGTGGAGCGGCTGACAGGGCTGGTCTGGAGGATGACGACATTGTGGTGGAGGTGAACGGAGTAAATGTGGAGCAGAGCAGCCATGACGAGGTGGTGGAAATGATCCGCAGCTCTGGCAGCTCTCTGGAGATGCTGGTAGCTAAAAGGAACGTCTATGACGAGCTCAAAGCTAAAGGAGTGACCATCACACGCCTGCTCCTCGGGGAAACATCTTATGCCCAAGTCCACTCTGCAGATACTCCAGAGACCAGCACAGAGGAGCGACATGAGAAAGAGGCCAGACCTGAAACACCCCCTGAACCAGCAAAAGAGAGGGTGAGTGGTACTTGTTTAAATGTTCCCAGGTAACATTTACAGGACCAGTGTGAAGGATTCAGTGGGATCTAGCAGTGAAGTCATGAGTCCAAGTCAGAGTCATTGTAAATAACCTCGGTAGCGTGTTCCCTATCAGTAAAGTGGCCTGCGTTGGTCTCAGAGTCTGTTTTCGGTCCCGGTCCAGCCCTGTTGAATCCGGTTCCGTCGCCTGGTTCTGAAACACCCCACCCCCCAGCAGTCAAAAGTTCCTGTGCTAGCCGTGTAAACACAAACACTTCCCCGGTGCTCCGGGCTCCAAGTACAAAAAGAGTCAGCTCATAGAAAGACAGAAGAAGTACAGTATACTTTGGGGTGCCGTTTGTAAAGCGGCTCAAGCTGAAAATAACAGCAACATTTTGTCACATTTAGCTTCAAACAATGTTTAAAAAACTGGTATGAATTTTTGAGGGTCACTTTTTTGCACATTTACAACAATATTTGTCAACTAAGAGATATTTTAAATAGTTAAATCCAAATATTAAATGTTACACCTAAATGTTAAATGTTAAATCTAAATGCTAAATCTAAATGTTATATTTAAATCTAAATCTAAATCTAAATGTTAAGTCTAAATCTAAATGCTAAATCTAAATCTAAATGCTAAATCTAAATCAAAATGCTAAATCTTAATGTTAAACCTACATCTAAATCTAAATGTTAAATTTAAATGTTAAATCTCAATAGAAATCTAAATGTTAAATCTAAATCTAAATGTTAAATCTAAATCTAAATTTTAAATCTAAATCTAAATCTAAATGTTAAATCTCAATAGAAATCTAAATGTTAAATCTAAATCTAAATGTTAAATCTCAATAGAAATCTAAATGTTAAATCTAAATCTAAATGTTAAATATAAATATAAATATTAATGTTAAATCTAAATGTTTCAGGTGAAACTAAATATTTAACTAATATGCAAATTCAAAATGCCGGTAACCGGAAGTACCAAAATATAAGCTTGAGGAGGTCAGTGTGTGTTTATAGTGTCAAATAGCCAAAGGGGGGCTCACTTTGACTGATCTGTCATGTTCGCTTGCATAAAGGCCAGCAAGAGCCTACCCCCGCCCGCCACCACCAGGTACAGCCATGGTCGCTCTGCGAAAATGTCCAACGAATCGGTGTTAGCCGAGAACATAGGCAGAGCGACCATGGCCGACAGTACCGTACCTGGTGGTGGCGGGCGGGGGTGGGCTCTTGCTGGCCTTTAACAACATTGTTTGAAGCTAAATGTGACAAACGTGTTGCTGTTATTTTCAGCGTGAGCTGCTTTACAAACGGCACCCCATAGTATACAGCTAATGGGGCCACTAGCTGCATTGCTAACTGAGCTAACTACCTAACAACATCTACAGTTGGCAGCAGTAACTCTAAGTAGTGTGGCTCTAGGCAATGTTGGTTTGTCAGTCAACCACTTTGGTCCAGACTGCAATATCTAAAAATTATTGGATGGATTGCCATGAGATGTCAGTGATCCCGACTTTTCTTCTAACACCACCATGACCTTAATGTAGTTTTGTGTGATGGTGATTATAATACGTATGCATTTAGCTTCATGCAATGCTGTGCTCAAGTATGATCTCACAGGACCAATAGCATGACTGAAGACTTATTTGTCAGTGGCCATGTACTTGCTGCATCCTTAATACGGGCTAGAATTGTTGCACGTGTGATGTTATTCCCTGTTTATCTTTTCAGCTTATTAAGCTGAACATGTCCGATGTCTAAAATAATTGTGATTTTATTTCTCTATTTTCCCTCTCTTCTAGTCCTCATCATCTTCCTCTGAAGACAGTTTCGACGAGAGACTCTAAAAAGCCACCGAAAGGATCCGTTTCCTGATTTGGCCTACGTCAATCTAATGTTCATCCATTGTTTTTTCAAACAATCAACTCTAAGGGCTTTACACATCTAGTTAATATTACAGGAGACAAAACAAATGAACAAGGACAGTACTAAGACTTTTTAAATTCACTGTCAACATCTCAATCATAGCAGAATAGTTGCACGTATAAAAGGGCTGAGAACCAAACAGGTTGGTGAATACTTTTGTCCTTCGATGCAAACAGTAGATCTACTCATAACTGAGTCTGTACAAAGATAAGTACAGCCTACAAAACCTAAGCTAACACTATTATGTTGCCAGTAAACACTGTAGACTTTCATGTATTTTTTCCTCTATGCAAAGACTGCTGCCTTTATTTAATGTTCTAAAAATAAAATTTTGTTGTTCCCATTTCTAAATAAAAGAAAATGATTTTCAACTTCCATGAACACAAATAAATGAACAAATAATATCTGAATTAAGCTTACTTTATGGGTGTTTGTTTTTGTTCCCAATTAAAATACATATTTTGTCAAAAGTAACAGCCGCTTCAGGACGGAGATCATGATTGAAACTGTGATCTTTCCTTCATACAGTCCGTAGTCCACCTCAGTGAAAGTGAAGCAGATGTGCTGTGAACAGTACAGCTCCAGTGTGTTCAGACAAAAGAAAGTACAGAACAATTTGGCCAAAATTAAGAGCACAGAATACAAAGTTTTTGCGGTTGCATGTAAAATTAAATTCCTAATAGTAATGTTTGTTCTGTAAATGGTTTGATAATAATTAGAGTCCACTTTCAAAGTTGTCTCCTCATGTGTTCCAAAAGTTCCCCATCACTTGCATCCAACAACCAGCCATTCCTGATTCAGGAACCCGGCAGTCCAGATAATTATGTAATTTATATTTTAAAAAATTCCTTGATATCCCTATATTCCAGAATCAAAGTCACCCCAGGGGTCGGGAGTCACATCCAGGTGGGAAGAGATGTGGGGAATCAGAGGGCCATGTGTTTCTCTGGTGCCTGCTTGTGGGCAAGATACAGGAAAAGGATGCTGGAAAGGGCGCTGACCAGGAAGATTACGTCAAACCAGCGGTGGTAGAAGTTGAACTGCAGCTCTCCCAGAACTTCTGTCACAATGGAGCGATACTCCAGCGGCATGCTCATACGCATCAGCAAGACGGATGAAACAAAATACATCCCCTGAGACAGAGAGAGAAAGTTTTGCTTTATCTGTTGTTTGTATGTTATGTTATAGACAACTATAAAGCGACGGACTCACCATGATCTGAGCGAGGACAAGCACGATGACATTGGAGGACTTGCTGCTTGATATTGCATAGAAGAACTAAAAATGAAAGAGCATTAAATCTTTGGTTAAACAGACAAACCATTGAAAAGAAAAGTTAGTTATTGACCTCAAGATCTATCATGTGATAGTTTTACCTTAGTGAGGGTGATGAGTAAGCCACGAATGGATGTAACGATTATTATACCCACCAAGATGAAAGAAATGTGTTGGGACCAAAACTTTACCTGAGACGGGGAGAAAGATAACAAAAGAATATGAAAAGGATGACAACTTTCATTTAGATTTAAACATAATTCAAGCCTTTGTGAGTGTGAGCTACGAGAACTCAATCAAATAATTGTCTACGTGGGAAAAGATTAAAAGCAATCATGACCAGGTTCACTGCTGAGAAAGCAGCCAGAGAGATGATAATGAGCCGGCAGTTATCTCTACGGGAGGCCATGCAGTATGACATGTGACTATTTCTGCAGGTGTGTACATGTATGTGTGTGTGTGTGTGTGTGTGTGTGTGTGTGTGTGTGTGTGTCTGTGTCTGTGTGTGTGTGTCTGTGTGTGTGTGTGTGTGTGTGTCTTACATCAAACTGGATCCCCAAGTAGTTCACTGTAATTTCAATACCCCTCGTCACAGGATCCGTCTTTCCAACTCGATCGAACACAATGTTTATAGTGGCCTATGAAATACAGAATAGGGTTTTTTTGTTCATTAAATAAACATTTTAACAACAGAAAAACTAAAACTAATTGGATTATGTAACAGTATCTGTGTGTGAGTGTGAGGGAAAGACACAATGCCAGAAAACAAGTGTGATTGTTCTCACCATGAAGATTTTCCAAACACAATAGATGGAAAAGAAGTAGCCGAGGAAATTGAAGTATTTCCCCTGGAATGTCTTAGAGTACTCAATTCGCTCCTAAAGATAAGGAAAGGTGGCAATAAAGCATTAGCAAATCATTTACTGTACATAAGCAACAGAAAATGAGTGGAGTGTGCAAACAAATGAGTGTCTGTTCCCTCAGTTCTCAGTCCAGGTGTCAGAGAGGCCTCCCAGTTAAACAATGGGATTTGAAAAATCTAAACTGAATAAAAATGATTTTCTTCTCATGTGTATGTCAGCATGCTGTCAAACATTTATACACGGACTATGAACTTTTTATTATTATTTTGTTTTATTAGGTCCTGTGATATAATAGTTCATGTGATGTGATGGAAATTAACCTGGTTTAAATGACATAAGGGAAGATTCTGTACATTAAATACAGATTCATATTTATCATATAACAGATGTTTAAAGGTCCAAAGTGTAATATTTAACATGTTGGTAGTAGGGATATAATATTCATAGGTAGGATTTCATTAGTGTATAATCATCACATTTGAGTGTTTTCGTTATCTATCTAATGAGCTGTTTTCATCTACAGAAGGAGGCTGCCATATTGAACCACCGTGTTTCTACAGCAGCCCAGAACGAACAAACCAAACACTGACTCTATAGGGCTTTTCTTTTTTTTTTCGTGAGTTTCACAGCCACCGTTAATTTCTCCAACATGATTGGAAGGCTGAGCTGTATTCAAAATGGTTGAAATCTGCAACCTCAGCCTATATGCCACTGAATTTTACACACTGGTCCTTTAAGTTGGAAAATGCTGTGTTTAGGTATTAGTTACAGATCACTAAGCTAGGGCAGGTTTCGTGTGGTTGAACTGGCATTAATCAACATTATCATTATATAATATTACCATTTAATCAAATTACTCTCTGTAATGTGAAAGGGGTCCCTCAGAGTGCCAGAATGACAGAGAATTAAGTCTGCAGCTTTACTGAGCCTCTTTAAGCTAATTGTTTTGGTTTTATAGCTCTTTCACTGTATGGTTGAGTCTAAGCCGCTCTAATCAGTCCCTGTAGCCAGCCATTCTCAACGAACAAGCTCTGATTAATCCACTGTAAGCACTACTAAATATTGGACATTAAATGTCCACAGAAGAACTACTTCAATGAGATATTATTATTATTGCTTTGTGTTTTAGGGCTGTGATAATACTCATCTATTCGCAAACACCTTAGCCAGAACAACATGTATCTAAAGGCAACTGTGAGGTCAGGGTAAGGACCTGGAGAACTCAGGAACTGAGGAATTAAGTGTACACATGTCACTTTCCCCACATTTAGTAACTAGCTCTGCAATGTTTGACTGTCTCCCTACACCGCCCACTGTGATAATAAACTGAGAGGGTGGGGTAGGGACAAACTACGAAGATACACTGACGTACATAACAACCAATGGGAAACACAATCAAGCATCCACACCTGTACTCAGATTAAAGGGTGATAAAGATCCAAAGTGATAACTTTAAGCAAGTGAGAATTGATTTTGGCAGGTGGGCTGACTGATTATCAGGAGGGACAGACAATCCTTGATAGTCAAAGAAACCACAGATGATACTTCAACTGAGGCTTCATAAAATCTCTCTTTTATCCTCCCCTTGCTGTTTGCTGAGCAGGTAGCGTACAGTGTGTATTTATAACTTTTTCTCTCAAAACCGCTGCCTGCTGCAGCCTGAAACGATACTATGAGTATGGTGAAAGTGAACCAAAACAGCAAAGTTGTGGGCCAGACAGCTAAACAATGAGATGAAACTTAGCTAAAGAGCTGCTCATTCAGGTGATTTCAGATTTTCTGTAAGTTAATCAACCCCTTTTACATTGTCACATTGTCAGTGATACCTTATTATCATAAAAGCATCTACAGCCACTTAAAGACAAAGGTGAGCAATAATCTGAATGGTTTTATTCTGTTTGAATTTGGAAGGTGAAGGTAAATGGGTAGTTTGAATAGGCTACACCTAACTAGTCAGAAGGTCAGTGTTGCAAACCTGCTAATCATTAATTTCTTTTATGTCCTGTTTATTTGTTCCACCTTTAATTTTCAGGGATTTAATAATAGTTATTTTAATGTCCACCTGCAAAACTTCATTCAAGATTATAGTCTGCAAGTTCTTTTTTTTATTTCACTCTCGGTATCTCCATAGTTAAATGGAAAACATGCCTGTATGTGCATGCATTATGTTACCTTGGTAGATTGCAGGTCCACAGTCTCAAGAAACAGTTGTCGACTCAGCTCCTCTAGAGCATCGACCTCCTGCTGGATCAGAGAGAGATCTGGAGGGAAGAAGTTAAGGCTGACATCCACAACAAATGGAGGAGACTTTAACATTAATTCAATATAAATATAAAGGATACTTTCGCTGCCTGTTTGTGTGGAGGTGACACTCTTGATCATGCCCCAGAATCCTGTCTGTTTGTTCTGGTCTTCCCCACGCTGGTACATCTGCCTCCGTGTCATGGCAATTCTTCACATATAGAACAAATTGTAGTGGCACAAATCCTTTGTTTTATGCATTTTATAAAAAGAATAAAAATAAATAACTAACCGTTTCTTCTTGCTGACAATCATGTCCATAGTCTGGAGCAGCCGTCTCTCCAGAGCAAGGATGTCACTGTCAGTTACATTTCTGTGAAAAATAACAAAGCAAGAAGCATCTAAGCAATGTCAGCATGTGTGAACAGGGATACAATTGAGGATAGTAATGTCTGATCCATAAGTGGACTGTAACAGGCTGTGGGATCTGACTGCTGAAGGTTATGTCAGCGTAAAACCCACAGCTGAGCTCACCTGAGGAAATAGGACATGTATGTGTACGGACAGTTGACCGCACCAAACCCAGACAACAAAGCCATGAGTGTGACTCCGATCACACCAACACGACTGATTAGCTGCTCAATGGACAGGATGCCTGAACAAAAGACAACAGATTGAAAACAGCCAAACAATTGTTTCACACATTCTCACATTATGAGGAAAAAAGGCATCCACAGTCAGAAACTAGGCATAAAGGTGCCCAGAGAGGAGAAGGATGCACACTCACCATGTTTTGGACTCAGGATGGGGAATGGGTCCCCCAACTTCCAGAAGAAGTACATAAAGGTAAACCACACCATACAAGCGAACAGAAGCCTCTGTCTCTGCACTACATAGACACAAAGCAAACAGATTTCTGTGACACAATGTGTGAAATAACATCTGTCAAACAGCATCATTCATTTTTAGCTACAGTATTTAATCTTCAGTATTCAGCTGATCAGTTATACTTACACAGGCGTATGTTACTGACAACAAAGTATCCAATGTAGAAAGGCACCACAAAGATTAGAACCAGCAGTATCACATACAGATTCAGCTTCCAGTGGAAATACCTGGAGCTGTGACAAAGATGTGAGAGTTACAATTCTTCATCTGCAATTAGCAGCAACAAAACAGAGTTATATTCCACAGAAAATGCACTTACCTACTACTTAAGGCACCCAGAATCTCAAAGATGATGAGCTCAAACATGGTACATGAAAAAGCAAAAGTGACAGAGAAAACCACCTGGACAATGTACTGTCGCACCTGTCAACAAACACAAAACAAGTCAAGACTGTTACTTAGCACAGAAGATATAGGGATGACGTATGGCTATAGCTCTATTAGTGATGACACTCAACACACCCATCCTAGTGGTCATTCATGAATAAATTCCTTGCGTTAACACTGTACCTCATAATCTTTAAACAGCTGCCGCATAAAGAATAACCAGCCAAATCCAAAGAACAGCACCTGTGTTGGATTTAATGGGATTTATTTGGAGAAAGGAGAGAAGGGAACGATTAAACTGTCATATTTTTAATTTAGTAAAATACTCTTTTTTGAGTTTCATCAAAGTAACAAGTTTGAGTAAATTGAGAAACAAAATTAGAAAAAAGATCTAATTCGGTGTTTCACTAATCTCAAGTGTATGAATTTCTTTACTATATGCATTTTACATGGCAGACATTTTCACATGTCACAGTAGGAAAATCACAGATGTAATGAACAACATAATGACGCCTGTTTTCCATTTAGCTGTTTTCGTTTCAGGGTTCTGGTATATTGTTATTGATAAGACCTGTGTTTTTCCTACAATGACAGGTTTAAATGTTTGGCGTGAAAAAGGCCTTTTGGTTAAACACATTTCCCAATGCTGAGATCGCTTTCACAAAACTCCTCAAACACAGTTTTCTTTACCAACTTACAGTTGAATGCTTTTCAACAAACAACATTTATCACCATTGTCTTTGTATTTATTTATTTATTGCATAATTCAATGCTGCAATATGCAGTATTTCTGCTAGTTTTTAATTGAGTATTTCCAAAATATAAAAGGATGAAACTGAATTCCAGTACACCAGTATTTATATGTGTTACATACGCGTACAGGACAGGTATACAAACATGGAGATGATAGTAAACCCTGTTTAATGCATTGTCACAGTCTGTCCATCCTTACATTACACTGTATGGATGGGCTTTTTATGTTTATCATGTAAAGAGCTAAATATAATATAATAAAACTTTTTAGTTTTTAGGTTAAAAAAGAAAATCTAAAATTGTATGTTAACATGTGCAAAACTGAACTGTTGATACAGAGTCACTAATGGATTAACTAAATGGATTTTAAATTGAATAAAAACATTTGTGTCATGGCAAAAAGTTATTGAGTTTAATCCACTGTTAGACTGTTGTTGTGCTGACTGTGGGGAGAGTTTTGAAACAGAGACCTCACTATTGGAGAAATGTGTTTAACGAACAACGTTAACATGTTGACTGTTTTCAAGATCGTCTTGAGTCTTTTTCACTTTGACAGACGACATTAAAACTTCTACGACGCACACACAAACAGGGCGGTAGTCCAACATATTCACTACACAATATCCAACGTAACGTCAGCTCACAACATGCGCTGGATATTCTTGTTCATTGAGAAAAATACAAACAACAATGTGTCCACTTTACCAACTTATCACTATCGTTACCTGTGAGGTGAACATGATGACCGAGTCCACCAGAAACGACATGATGTGTGTAAAACCGCCTGTTAGTCCGCAGAGGAGTGACCGTACGGCTGAGGAGGGGTCGACGGCAGTTTCAGTTCATGCTGATATGAAACAACAACCAAGCTTCAAGCGCTACAAATGTTTGTTATGTTGCTAAAGAGCTCATTTTAGGAGCATTTGTTGTTCAGCTGTCAACTTGCAACGGTTGACCGTACGTCATCAACATGGAGCGGACAAAACACTTCCGTCGCAAAACTGTGACGTCTCACAATTTAAAAAAACAAAAAAACCCGAAACGTAAATCACAAGATTCATCGATTTTTGTTTTTATTTTATTTTGTTATATTACTAATTATTTTGGATAAATATAAAATAATGAGCTTGGTAACTTGGTTATTTAACACTGTGAGGGTTTCGACGGGGTTGTTGTGGTTACCATGTTTACCTGCAGAGGTTGTGGTTACCATGTTTACCTGCAGAGGGCGACAAATCAGCGGTTTGCTATCAGACACTGAAACGGTTTCTAAATGCACCGAATGAGAAATGTTTTTGTTTTGTGTCTTCTGTTATGTTAATGCTTTAACAGTAATTTCAAACACACCGATTTTCCTCAGATATTACTTAAATAAAAAATAAAAATCTAATATTTTTTAAGCATGCATTTTACATATCAACATTTGGAAATGTGTGGGAAGGACATGGAAGACACTGAAATCTCCACCAGTCCCACAAAGCTATACAAACTAAGGGACACTAGGGGGCGCTGGTAGTCCAACCCTGAGCGCTGGCATTGTCTGCACTCAGAGCTCATCCACATCCAGAAAAGTGAAGTTAGGAGCTGCCACCGGCTGGTGTTCATTGTTCTGGTGGTGCGCAGAATAGAAAACACTCGGATGAGTAAAAATAGTTTCCTGCTCGTTCTGGAGTGATGTTTCAAAAGACTGCTGGGTCATAAGGACGGGCAAGATGTTGCAGAGGTAGAAGATCTTCAATTGTTGGCTTTTACCTTTTGCATTAGGACAAGTAGAGGTGAGTGTCTCAGCCTCATGGGTGTATAATTTATGACACATGGAAAAGAGAATATGTGACAGATAATTCAGTTCTCCATAGTTTTCTTGATTAACTGCAGATTGTCTCATTTAATCAAGAAAATATGGACATTCCTATTATTGCTGTATATGTTTGGTGTGCAATTGGCTATAAAAAGTTTTATATTTATCTATAAAGTTCATTGCAAGTTGTTGTATTAGACTTGAATTCAACCTAGAATATGTTTGTTCAGCGATGTGGCAGAAAAAAATGTTTTGACATTTTTAAAGCCCTCTGATAACATGATACCCACTAATAGCTCAGCTATTTTAAATCTGAATCTCTTTGTTCAGTGGATGTGGTCCCTGAAAAACTTATTTCATTTCATTGCCCCACACTGAATCGTTTAATAGTTAAATGTGTTGGACGGCATCTAGTGACCACGGGTCCTGAACTGCCTCGGGGGAAAATTACGTTAGCACATCAAAATTCTTTCACTGTTGGATAACCAGTTGTATAAACTATAGGAGAGCTTGATAGAGTTCATGTTGACTAAGATAACTTGAACATTTTCTACATCTCAGTACCACCTCAGTTCCTCCTCCCTGTTAAATGAGCAATGAAGAAGATGATGAGCCAGGCCTCCTGTAGGAATGGTCTGCAGGTGTGTTTACTCCTACTGATGGTGGGAAGACTGCAGGGTGAGTATGTCATGCTAATACAGGTATGGAAAAACTCAAATCAAGAACTCACGTCACACTAAATTATGATGTTGTTTTAAATTGGTTGGATTTTTCAGGAAGGGTAACAGCACCAGAGCGTCTGGAAGCTCCAGTGGAGAAGCCTTTTACTCTGATGTGCAGTGTTTTGAGGGAACGAGGTGAGTCTCTGAAGCAGGTGCGTTGGCTGGATGTCCAGAACCAGACCCTGCTGAGCTACCTGCCCGGCCAAAGAGACAGTGTGAGTGGACAGCAGCATGTGGAGCTCGCCTCCTCCCCAAAGGACTCCTCGGCTATCACCATCCGTAGGGTGGGCTTCCGTGACGAAGGCTGCTACACCTGCATCTTTGACATGATACCTTCGGGTTCAAAGCAGGGACAGATCTGCCTCACTGTTACCGGTGAGTAAGACCATTGATGACAGCAGGTTTGGACAAGGATGCGGTTTCTGCAAATAGAAAAACACCAGTTTGTTACAATGCAGACAAGACCTAATGTATTTCCAACCCTGAGACTCCATAGGTTCACTCTGGTGGGTGCAGTTCAGCTTCATAAAGTGTAATTTCCTGTTATGTTTCTTCTGATGATCATGACTCTAAGAATGGCATAAAATGCCCTAAAAAAGGTTTATTAAAAAAGATATAGTATATATCAACTCTACAGCCTTATGATTTGATTTTTGAGGTAGTAAGCACAGAACACATGAGGAGTTAGGATGAGTATCAGTAGTGTAAGCTTTGGTTATTGGATCTCCAGGGGCTCATAGTAAACAATAAAGATGTGGACCTCTGACATATTGTCAACCCTGGCTAGAAAAGTTTAGATGAAACATGAGTTTTTGTAGCCAGGAAATGACTGCTATTCTGACATGGTCATGAAGGTTGTGAACTGAGTGGGAGAGGCCTCCGCTTGAGGCCGGGTTGAGTAATGATCATGATGAGGGAGCTCAGATATCCAGAATTTGGTGCCTGAATCAGATGAGATTCCCCAAACTTAGGAGATTTGCTAATAATTAGTAATTGTTTATTATAAAGTAGCTACCAATATCAGTGAGGAATTACACAGCCTTACATAGAGGTGCTCAAATGAGAATCATAAAATGACAGTTGCCTGAATTAATTTTCATAGTTTCTTCCTCTGTTGGTGTTTCATGGCTTAATGCTGCACGGAGTGTCAGAAAAATGGGAAGAACTGTTATTCCAACTTGGGAGTGTTGACACATAATTCCTTTATGGCTAGCTCCTCTGTTATTCTTGTAGCCTCACCAGATAAACTTGGCTTCTTTTGTTGTATTACGTACTAGCAGTAAAAATAGACAGAAAGGAACTGTGTATAGCTCATTTTAAAGGTCCGGTGTGTAACATTTAGGGGGATCTATTGGCAGAAATGGAATATAAGGTTCATCAATGTGTTTTTATTAGCATATTATCACCTGAAAATAATCTAAATAGATAAAATAATGAATGAGCCGTTTCTATGTACAGACACCGTGGGTGTCCTTACTTAGTGTAAGTTACGATATCTCCCACTCACCTAGTGGGAGATATCGTCTGTGTCAGAAATTGCAGATACAGACTTGGAATTACAACTCGGAGGCTTACGTGAAAAGTTTTTTTCCCACTCTGCTGTTCCTAATTACGATTTAAACAATGCATGTGGAATAACTCATTTTGGATGCCTTCTGTTTGCACCCGCCCATTAAGATGAAACACAACCAGTTCTGCAGTAGACTCCAGAGACAGCTACTCCTCCCTGCAACCTGAATATCAATCTGCTGTGGGGATTTACTGAAAATATGTGAATACAGATGTCCTGAACCACCCCTAACCTCTGAACACAAGTTGATGAGCCCGTTGAGGCTCAGCCAGTCATGTTAATAAAGAGCTGTGGAGCAGTGGGAGAAGGAGGGCTTATTTTTCTAACCAGAAACAGCTGTTGCAGATTCCAGTAACTGGTTTCTGTTTGGGTGCCTCATATTTCTGATTATTAGCGTTGTTCTGTTTTTCACCCTGTGTCAACCTGTTCTTTGTTCTTTGTATCTTGTCTGCACATCCATCATTCTTTCATTGGATGGTATGCTCTTTTCATTCCCAGCGCAAGTCACTGTCGACAGCAACAAAACAGCAGTGAGTGGCAAGAAGGCCTCCCTCTCGTGCTCCTACGGTTTGCCTGAGAAGGTGCAACAGATCATATGGAGACACACTTCTGCACAAGGAGACTCCTCACAGGTGGCCTCCTTTGCAAAGCGGAGTGACCCCATGATAGAGCCACCCTACCAGGGGAGAGTCTGGCTAAGTGCCTCCCTGTCCGACAGTCAGCTCACCATCCAGCCTGTCGCTATCCAGGATGAGGGCTGCTACACATGCCTGTACACCACACTCCCTGCAGGACAGAAGAGCTCCACGGTTTGCCTCGCCACCTATGGTAAACATCTTTTTCCCCAACTAGCCATCATCACTGATTATTTCATATTATGTTTTTTAAAAGTAAACGAAACAAAATGGCTGAGGGGAAATTTGAACTCCATCTGAAATGATCCAAGATGGGGGACAAAATTCACACTCCTCGTTCCGTTCAAAAATGTTTCTTTACAATAATAGTTAGACATTTTGGGAAATTCTTTTTCGCTTTCTTCAGGAGAGTTGAAGAATACCACTCTCATGTCCATCGGTAAATATAAGGCTACTGCCAACAGCTTGATAGTTTAGTTTAGCAGGAATGGAACGAGGAGGAAACCGCCTGCCTGGCTCTATATCAAAATAAAATTAGTTCAACAAACGGATCCTTTAAGTTCTGGCATCTGAGTTAGCCAAAGTCAAGTCCTCCTGGAAGTCACCTCTAGGTTTGCTGCTGGTGTTTTGTCATGTTTTGTACTACCAGATCATATCCTCTGCCGCGGATCAGCAAGAAAGCACTGTCTGTGGAGAAACAAACACAACTGCAACTTACCCACTTGTTTTGGCTAACTCAGGCTACAGTAACCTCAGACTTCAGCTTCCTTAAAGAAGAAATGAAAAAAGAAATCCATCCGTTAATTGCAAAATACTTGTTTAACTTGGGGAAGTGGACATTTTGTTTCCAATGCAGTTGTTACAGTGCTGTTTTGTTTAACAATAGTGCCACTTTTTATGAAAGAATAAGTTGTTTGGATGAAAATTTTTGCAGGGCTGTAGTTGTGAGCGGATTTGTTCTTCAATAGATGTAGGAGCTGGGTGGACAGGATCCTGTAGGAAAGTCGTAGAAAGACATGTTTGCGTAAGTGCCAAGAGACTCAACTTTAGACTTTGTGTCTGTAGGAAAGACAGGTACCTCTGGGATTTAGACAGGAATGTTGATCTTTTCTTCCTGGTTGTAGCTGCTGAGTGTTTTCATGATACAGCAAGGCTACGCTGTTGACTGATTTGTTAACACACAAACACAGAGCAGTGTGTCCATGTGAAGAATGGAGCATTCGAAAGAATGATGGAGGCAGGGAGTGAGGTCCTGATGCATGACTGTGTCAGTGTTTGCCGCAGACAGTGATTCCCTCTGTGCTTTGTCTCTCTCTCTTTTTGCTCATTTGCTTTCCCACTTTTCTCCCATTCCCTTTCTCTCACAGTTATCTCAACAAACAGATGTGCTTTTGTTTGAAATCGAACTGTACAGTACAGTAGGTGTTTCTAGTAGTGAAGCACGATTAGCATTAATCGTTTTTTTTCTGTTTATTGCTGCCTGTCTTCCACCCCCGTCCCACTCTGATGATGTGATGTTTCTTTACCCCAACTCTCACACATACTGTCCACACACACTGATAGCTAAAACAAATGATCTCATGATCTCAGCAAAAAAATACCACTGAAGTAGGTCATAAAAATTCTTCAAAATGTAATGGAAACATCATTAAATTTAAATGGCATAAATTACATAAAATTTAGATTTAATGTATTTATAAACGTACATTGTTCGGCCACTTGTTCAAATAAAAGAGGTAGTCAAAATGAGTAACTATAATGCATCTGCTTAGCAGAAGTTTTAAGTCTTAATGCCATAAATAAAGCTGCCAGTGGGTTCAGTTTAGCATGGGATGAAATTACCACACTAGATGCTGGCTATAATCATAATTCTAATATTATAATAACAATGTATCAAAAGACAGTGTGAAAGGGGTCACCCGTAGTAATGAACCTACAGAAAATGATCACCTCACCTCTGCAGCCGCCCATTGGGGAGTTTACAGTGCTTTATAGTGAGTTTCAACTCATTGTTTATCTACTTTGGTTTATCTCACCACTCTCATAGCATCATTTTCAGCAACAGCAGGCAGCTGTTTTCAGTGAGAAAGCTCGAAAATCCACTGTACACAAATTGCTCAGCACCAAACAGCAGATAGACACAGTTATCAACTAGGTGGTTAAAGTATATGCAGCAATAACCGTGCAAAAATGTGCCATTACAACTAAAAGTCCTGCATTTAAAAGAAGTGCTAATTGTGCAGAACAATATCCTCCGTCAGTATTGTACAGTTGAATTGAACTTATTCTGTACTTTTATAAAAGTGTATTGTATTTTCATCATTGGTTTTGTGTGTAAAATGTTATGTTAGTACTTGAGAAAATGTAGTACAAATTAAATAATTGCTTTGGTGGGAACTCTTTGGTACATATTTTTTTGTTAAATTTCTTTCTTTATGTATTTTATAGACATTAGGTCTATTTTAAGTTAACAATCAGTGCAAAATGACGTTCCTTACATTGTGTTAAGGAATAAAATGAATATATGCCTTTTATATGGCGTCACAGTGGTACAGAGTCTTACATATTTAGTACAAAGATTTTGGGGAAAGATTTAGATAAACTGTGGAATTTAAATAGAATTTCACACCATTTTTGTGCTCGTTCACAGGGAATTATGGTTTGGATTGTTCAAGGAATTTTTTCCTGTTGTGGTTTGACCCAGCCCGAAATCTGATACAATCCAGACCGACAGTGGGTAAAGTTCACCACCTAGAGCTCCGAGAAGACACTGAAACTACGAGGGCCAAATATCTGTGGCTAAATGTGTTCTTGCCAACAAAAATGTTCTCGGTTCCAGTGTATCACATTCCTCGCTCAGCCCCGAGAACAGAGAATTGAAAACAGCCAGAGACTTACTTATGGATCTTAAGTGTGCAGGAATTCACATACCTTAGCTGATCCAAAGGCTTCAAGGTTTTTCCCAGGTATCATCTCAGCAATTTGCCCAAAGATATACAAATACTGCAATCAGATTTTTTTGACTAAAATAATGTGCTTTATATACACGTCCTCCCACAGCGTACTTTCCATATTTCACTTAGTGCCTGATCATCATGTAACATTTCCATAGCTTCCTGGCTTGTGAATGTCACACACAGCACAGGAGAACAAAAGAAGAAATAATTAATCATAGTGCATCTCATTGTGAGCATGTTTTGTGTGTTAATGTGTGCCAGTGTGTTAGCTTTTGTCTGTTTATTTCTCCCAGTGCTGCCCAAACCTCAGGTGAGCTACAAGACTACCTCTCCAGGTGTGATCGAAGCCAACTGCACCTCAGTGTCGCGCCCCCCAGCGGAGATAGTGTGGAACGTGGAGAGGGATAACCGCACTATGGGCCCCCCTGTTACGACACAGCTCCCACAGGGAGACGGGACCACACTGGTCATCAGCACACTGACTGTCCAATCAGGCCTCCTTAAAGATGTGTCCGTCAAATGCTTGGTGCACCACAAAGGGCTTGAGTCACCGATTGCTGTATCCATGAACACCAAAAGTGAGTTGGTGTCAGTGAACTCTTTTTTTTTTCAAGAATTGTGTCTTTGTTTTTCCTGGCATACTCCAAAAGTGCTTTATATCATCATTACTTTAGAATACTGAATAAAGAGGAAGGAAGTCAGAGACAACATGTGCACATTGTACTGATACAATAGTTCTCAGTAAGTAAAAAAGATCTTTGTCAAGCATTGTCAAAAAAAATCACAAAGTTTAATAAATTATATTTCACTGATTCTGAGACAAGAATGAGATTCAATATGTTTTTGCATAATATATATTTTGAGTTTTTTTTAAATATGCAAGAAATAGTGTCCGTTGCCATAGAGGCATGCTTTCTCCTTTATACAAGAGTGTCAGACTGTGAGGATGTTTAAATCTATATTGCTTGTTCTGCTTTGTAACAGTGCCTGACAAAGATCTCTGTTTGATCAAAATGTTGCCCTGTTAAATGTATTGGCAGCTGTGTGGATCTTTTTTTTTTGTACTTTGTCCGTCATAATACAAAGGAAAGCTATGACCACAGAGTTCTTATATTATTCCTATTTTTGAGATGTAGAATTTCCTCTGTACAAACATTTTTAAAATATATATTTTATAAAAAATAAAAATAACTTCCTATTAGTTTTAATGCAGTTTAGGATGAGCAGTAGGAAGCCTAAGTGTGCTTATATTTGTCATGTGTGCGATGGCTCTAGTTTGCTGTCAACCTTTAGTTGACCTTAGTTTCATGGGTCAGGAGTGCACACATCAAATAAATCAGATGGTAAGTAAATCTCAAATCTAATCAGTGATGGTCCACCAAGAGGAAGCCGTGTCCAGACTAGCACAGGCTGTACAGTACACAGGCACAAATACCAACATAAATTTTTGCTTCTAATGACATTTAATCTGGATTTTGTATGGGCAGAATTTACACACTGTAGTTTATGATTTTTTAAAAATGTGTCCTTTCTAGTTGGGACGGCTCTCACCATCCTGATCTCAGTCACCACAGTGGCAGCCCTGTTGGTCATGTCCCTCTGCTTCTGCCTGTGGAAGTGTTTCTTGCGCAAAGAAGGTGAGCGTGTGTCTTGTGTGTGTGTGTGTGTGTGTGTGTGTGTGTGTGTGTGTGTGTGTGTGGTGTTTCTAATGTATACTCTGCACTGTTTCTCAACGCCAATGCTTATATCAACAATTAAGGGAAAACAGTCATAGCGTCACACTCCTTTACACCTCATGTCTTCACACCGTTAGATACAGATGTACAAAAGCACAGGTGGCTATGTGTCAATGGGAAAATGTCAGTAGGGTATATAAACAGTCTTTTTAAAAGGGACAAAAACATTTATAATAAAATAAAAGATACAATATTAATACAAGAATAAGAATGATAAGATTAGATTTCACTATAATGAGGGTGAGCTTTAATGAATTCTTGAAGTATTTCATTGGTTCATTTACACAATTTAATTTTTCAGTTGTATTGTTTTTTCACAATGTCGTCTTGATTTATTTAATATTGAACATTTTTGGGCTCAATAAATTAGTGGCATGATGTCTAAGTCATCCATTTCAACTTCCTTTTTAAGCTACCTGCACTCCATCTGCACTTCATTTATCTAGTCAATGTTCTGTCTGCGCATGAAATAAAACAATCATAGAGCTGTGTACCGTCGTAGTGCTAACAATGTAATATGTATTGTATAGAATGAGGAAGTATCAGCCAAAGCAGAGCTCAAACTGGAGCCTTAAAAAACTCATACAGGAAAACAGCTAAATATTCTGTCTTGTAGGGTGTTAGATGTGAAAGCAGTGCTATGCTACATTACCTAAAGACAATCATCAAGATGACCAAGATTAAGCTAATCTTTAACAGCTTACTAGCTAATGTTTAATGAAGTTGGATTCTACTCTATGTTAACGCTAAAATGGAAAAGTTAGTTTGTGTGCCTATAAACATCTTTACAGGTACAAGTTACAATACTGTTAACCTCTCATTCTGAGCAAAAAGGAGTCAAATTAACCGTAAAGGTCTCGTCCCACTGCCTCTTTTTACTCGAATGAAGACATGCTTTATGTTGAAACACTATTGCTGCATCTTATCAAAAAGCTCTAAATATAATATACGATATAACTCTCCAGATAATGTATTGTACAAGCCAAGACAATGTAACTATCACAGTATTCAGTTTCTTTATAATCCTACAGGTCAAATATAATATTTTTGTCATGAGTGTTGCCATCGAATGTACAGCTTTGATGTCTCTGCATGTGTTTCTTTTTAAGCAGTAGTTATCTAGAGTTTCAGGTTTGGAGGGCAATCCATCCTCATTACTAGCCTTATTGTGTTGTGATAGCTGCACCAAGTCAGATGTCCTTTTGATGGAAAATGTAGATATGAGAAAACAGTGAAGTTTTAAAAACATGCATTCTTCTATTTTGTGTCATTACTTCTCCTGCTCTCTCTCCATGCATTTCCTTTCAGCTGATTAATCTTTCAGATGAGACCAGAAGCTGAAAGGAAGAGGCAGAGTAGTTTCCCTGCATCATCACCATCATCTTGGTACGAAGGGAAGATGTTCTGACACACCTCTATAGAATGTCAAATACAATCCTATGTATGAGCGCCAACTGTACAACGACATTCATCTCTGCTCTTCTGCCTCCGCACCTGACTCTTATATAATCTCCAGGCTGTCCTCACATGAAGTCAATGAGGAAATGTTGAGTGGATCATATGTTTTCTCTCTCTGTAATTGATTGAGTTGATGGCCACACATTCCCCAACGCACAGCAGAGTCACTGTATGACGAGTTAAAGTACAGTGATTTTGCTGTTACAGCATATTGCATGTCTTTGAAATACTCTCCTGTTTGTCTCTCTTTATTAGTCCTTAAAGGATAAGTCTGGTGAAGTTATATTTCTTCACATCCCATGAAAAGACTGAACAGCAAATGGATAGATTCTGCTAACAACTATTGTCTGTGTAGCCAAAGCACGATATATTGTATTCCTCTGAGCTCCTCTGATGTCCAACAACTATAAAAACACATCACCATCCTGCTTCTGTAAATACTCACAAGCACACCAAATGTGTATTAATCCACAGCTAAAAGTAGTCCCCCATAAAATATTCTACAGTGCTCAGCTGTTTTTGGAAATCATTTAGCTTTTTTTAATGTCAAAACTCTATTCAAGCCTTTATCTACATAGGATTTTTTTGACAATAAAAAAAATAAGGAATATCGCCAGCCTTATCCTTTAAATAACCCAGCTAATCGCCACCGTGGGCTCACCCCTAGTGTTTTTCTTCGTGTACCTCAGTCAAAGGCCTCTGTCACTTCTGTGTATTTCTAAAAGGAGGGTGGGGTCAGGGACTGACCCTGAAGAATAGTCAGTAGTTTACCTAAGGGGGCTGCATACTTATGTCTTGTTTGTGTAATATCTATTGCAAACTTTTCTACACATTTCACAGACTGTTTGAGTGTGTTGTGAGAGTGTGTTGTCCTTCTGCCTGTCGAAGTGTTTCTTGCGCAAAGAAGGTGAGTGTGTGTCTTTGTGTGTGTGTGTGTGTGTGTGTGTGTGGGCGTGTGTGTGCATATTTGTTAGAGGTTAGATTTCACGATCAGATAGCTTGAATCAATTCCCTGAGAAAGCAACACTGAAACCCTTTTGTTGCCCCCGAAAGGAATGCGTGTGTTGTTGCCCGTGTAGGCGAGTTCACGTGTGTGAAAATGTGAGTGTGCAGGTTGGGCTGCGGCAAGGAAGTTTAGTGGTTGGATAACGGTTAAATGCCCAGAAGAGCCACTGTTTGAGTGTTCTTGACAAAAAAACTAAAATCGTGCATGCTCATTTGTCAGTCACTCTGGATCAAAGTGGCACCTATATATGCCCAAATGCCTTTTGTGACATATCATGTTTGCATGTGTACAGGGGCATTTTAAAAACTGAAGCTTTAAGCTGAAATAATCTTGTATATCAAAGCATATGATTAGAATCAGTCAGTTATCATCCAAATAACATGTAGGTTATATTCGAGCTTTGTGCTTCAGTCGGGCACGTCACAGTCCTCACCATTAATAAGAGTCCTCTGTCGGCATAGTTTCACTATATGCATACTACATTGATTATGAGCCCAGAGTTTACATTAGAATAACTCTGAAATGTGGTTTCAGAACATTTTTAAATGGAAATGTAACTTAGTATCAGCCCTGTACAGAGCACAACTGTAAGGAAGAAAATATGACCAACTCTGAAAAGTTGATGTAATAAATGCAACAAACAGAATAATAAAAAATATTTAAAATAATATGTTTCTGAATCTTAATCACTTTATAATCTTTCAATGCCACTTCTTCTGCTTTTTCAGCTCAGCTTTATACCTCTCAGAAATTCACGAAATTCCTTTCTAGTGTGCCAAACCTGGCTTCCAGATGCTCATTTTTTGTGTCCTTTTTCATCCCAAGCCAGGCTGGTTATGGTGGACCTCACAGAGCACACACATGTTGTGCACACACATGTTGTGCACACACAGAGAGCCTTCAGCATATGTCAATTCTGTTCTCTGGTGTGTTTATAAGTTCTGGGATAACAGACACTATTTATTAGCTTTGTTACATGTGTTTGTGTATTTAACTCAACACCTATATTTGTCTCATCTGTATATATATATATATATATATATATATATATATATATATATATATAAACATGTCAATTTCCACTCAGCGGACATTTAAAAAATAGAATACCAACTGATCCATGTCTACTTCTATCAATAATCAATTTTTAAGGGAGATTTTGGAGTAGTAACACAAGCATTCATCCATCCTGGACACTTTGTTAGATGTTCAAGTCCAGACAATGTGTGAGTGACCTCAGGCTCGATCTAATCAGGCCTGTGTCAAACGCTGCCTTCGCACAAGCCTCTGCTTTCTCCATCTCTCTGCCGTCTAAACCAGGGCTTTGTCCACCAGAGAAAAAAACACAATTACTGGGGTGTGTGTGTGTGTGTGTGAGAGAGAGAGAGAGAGAGAGACACACTGAGAAACAGAAAGAGAGAGAGAGCGAGAGGAGAGACTATATGAGCAGAACTTATGTGTGGGCTGTTAGCTGAGATGAAAAATTTCCACTCAGTGACAGAAAAGAAGTTCACCACCTCATTTCACATGATGTTCAAGACTCCTATAAAGCATGTAGACTACATTTCCACCTTCCTCTCCTGAGTATGCATTCCAGTGAGCATACTTTAAGAAATGTGAAGGCCAGATCGCATTATTCAGGAGACATTTTTCCACATGCCATTTTTCAGTGAAAGGACCTTTTGTGAGCGTGTGTAAATGCATTAAAGCATCATTATTTACAGGATTTGCTCCACTTTATCTTTTAAAGAAAACTGAATTATCAGCATATTTGTAAATATGATATACTGCATTTATTCCCCCCAGATGAGCAGTGATGATGAGTGATTTGTGATCTTAGGAGTTACATAAGGTGAGAAGGGCTACATGGGAACTTTTCTGATCTTTCAGATTAAGAATGAGGTTAACACTTTTTTTGGATAGTCTGCCTACAGGTGGTTTATAGAGTATTAACATTTAAAAAGCTTATAAGTGGAGATTTAACAGCTGTTTCTGAGCACAAAAAACATGTGCTAGGGTATGTTTATGAATTATATACTCAAATAACAAATCTGTTAAACATCTACATACATAGTGAAACAGTTGAATGAATGAAATCAAACAATTCAGGAAAATCGGTCTAAGCTCTACTTACAGAATTTATTTGACTTGGGAGCTAGATGGGAAACTGAAAATAACCATAAAAAAAAAAGTGGTATTGGTACTGGTTTACTGGCCCAATTAGTAATCTAATCAGTTACATAAGTAATCCCCACAAATATCAGCACTCTTTCTCCACTAATGATGAGAAATCATGCAAAGAACCGCTTCATATTTCAGAATTTTAGCCATAAAAACATTTTCAACACTTACCAGAGAGGTAAGCCATACAGACAAACTCTATTTTTTGTTACTGGAGCCCATAATGGCTAAATATATTAGGTCATATGAATAAATTATGTGTTTAATTAATCAGTTTTGATCAGGCAAGCAAGTGTATTGGGGCTTTTAGCACAAGGGTTTCTAAATATTGTATTTGACATTTTCTGATGGTTTTATTTGGTACAGCTTCTTGATAGCAATGATTAGCTGTCTATGTGGTTGGTTGGAACACTTTTCGGATACATTTTTGTACTTTTCTGTAAATGTTGCTTTCACCTCTTTCTGCCTGAGCAGGTTGACTAAAATCCACTTTTAGTCAATCTTCTCATGTCTGCAGTAAGCCCAGTAGAGTGGTCAAAGGTTGATATTGATTTATTTTAAGGGGTCATGAGCCAAAAGCGTCTACAGACGTATAATAGTCTTTTATAAATGAAGTCCTCCTCTCTTTGTTATGTGTTGATTTATGCTGCATTTGAAGGTCCAGGTAACATCCTCTTTCTTGTATGTTATGTAACCACCAGAATGGTAAGACCACTAAACAACACCCTCTCAGTATGTAAACCAAATGTGTTGTGAGAAGAGATGAGAAACACAAATGATCTAAATCTCTCGACCCCCTCTTCACTTCCTGCACACTTAAACAAAACCACACTAGTGTGGTTGACAGGCCTGGAACTGTGTTTGTGTCAGGGGAAATGAAAAACACTGAGGACTGTATGTGGGAGAGAACCTATGTGAGATAAAATAGTGGACTCTTAAATATATTTGCCCGCGACGTTGTCTCTCAAAGAACTGGAGGATGAGCTGGCCAAATTATAATATTATCATTTCAATTGTAAGGAATGCAAAAATATTTATTAAGTACACTAAATCTACTATCTCTCAAAGAACAAGATGTTTCCAAAGTCACAAATAAGCTTATATTTCAATGCTAATATTTTTTTTTACAAGATATAGATGGTCTTTAAACTACCAAATCAGAAGAAAAATGCAGAATAAGTATAGAGTCTGCTCTACAAATCTGCATACCCACTGGATTTTTTGTATACAATTCACCCAAAGCTTTGGCAAACAAAATAAAGTATGAGTGAGAAAAGCCCTCCAAGTCACGTACATGAAATGACTGGAGGAGAAAAACTGCTGAAAAAATACCAAGAAATTAAAAATAAAAAGCAGCAGTGCCTGGAACAAACCTGAGGGTGAGAGAATAAATTGCTTCTGATCTAGCTCAAGATGACTGTACCGTGCGTCTGTATGACCACATGCGTCCTCCATTCCCCCTCCTCAGCAGTGTGGTTGATTGCTTTTAACCTCTACCTGTTCCATGACACCACCACATACTTTTCCATGCCTGTTTACATCTGCAAGTGTCCATGACAAACATGTTCAGGAAAAATTGATGGCAGCGTATTGCGAATTTTGCTGTTCTCTGGCAGGTCTCCCAAACTGCCGGTGGTTGATGACAGCGTACACTGCATGGTCTGTCACTTGACTCTCATTTGCTGTGTTTGCCACAGCAGGCTGGTTCCCGTTGGACATCGGTGGAGGCTGTGATGGTGGTCTTTCTGCTGTAGTAGATGAGCAGATTTCATTCAGAGAGGAGAAGTGGGTTTGCAGGACAAGACCAGAGGGATCGCTCCCCCTGGGTAGGTCAGGTATCATATGAGTGGACATTTCCTATGACATAAAGAAAATAGAACGATTACTTATATTCAGGTGACTAATGAAAATGTACTTGTGAATGTTATATTACATTTCTGCCAACAGAACCTCCTAGATATGACACAATGGACCTTTTAGTTATTACACTGCATCACATTACCTGCCCCTTTTTGGGGTTGATAAGAAGTATTCCTGTGAAGAAGACATAAAACAAATGTTCCATTGTTAGGTGGTAAGCTCTAGAAGAGATGTCACAGTAATTCAGACTGCAAATTCATGTTCTTACGTTTCCAGCCATGAAATCTCAAGATGGTTAACGCTGTCAATGTGGCGACCAGAAAAGCTACGCCAAAGAAGATGTAAAAGTAGGGCTGCCAGGGCTCACCCAGATGATCGCCAACACTTGGTGACTGATCTACAAAAGCAGAAGGACTAGATCAGTAGTCCAAGTCTGTATACATTAAAATGTAACTATATAGTTATAGGTCCTTACATGCATCGTTTTCTGAGTTGCTTATCCCCTGGATTAAGTCTGTAGAGTGATGGAAAGGATATAGAATTAACACAGACATCTGACATCCATATTGAAAATATACTTTTCTGTAAATGTTGCTTTGGCCTCTTTCTGCCTCTTAAAATCCTTCAAATCGAAAAATCTCAGAAGGAAAATCACCTTTTAGGCAAACTGCTCACAACTCATGTTTGCAGTAAGCCCATAATTTGGAGCGAGTGGTCAAAGATGGTCAAAAATGTATTTGTATAATTGAACAATTAAAGGTCCTTACATGCATTATTTTCTGAGTTGTTTATCCCATTGTGTAAGTCTGTAGAGTGATGGAAAGAATATAGAATAAACAAAGACATCTTACATCCATATTTTGGCACTGAAGGATAAAAGAAACTGCCTACCTGAAACTGAGATATTGATGGTGTGACTGATCAGCTCATATTTGTATCCTTTTATACTACATCTGTACAGGCCGTCGTCATCAATGGAAATCCGTTTGAACGTCAAAAAGGAGATCACTTCATCCTTAAAATCTTTGTCATCCTGTTTTATTTCTACATTCTCTGCTTCATGAATCCGTTCACACTTGTCTGTGTCAAGCAGTTTACACCAGGTGATATTTAACGATTCTCCACAGTGTTTGACAGGACACTTGACTGTCAACCCTTGTTGTGGGGCGACTTTCCATCCCGTGTTTCTACGGACCTTCAGCTCAACATCACATGAAGGATAAATACCTAGATTAAAAAAACATGTTATCATAAAACATTTACTGAAAACCCCTTCTTAGTGTCATCTTGAATAATTCACATTATATCAAACATCTTTAATGTTCATCATTTCAGGAATTAAATGTGTCTAAGTACTAAATTCTGACAAATACATCTACAGTATTTTTGATCAATGCAAGAAATGTAGTTATATATAACCTTTTGTCTCCTTCCATTGTACTTACATAGGTACCCATCTCTTGTGTTGTTACTCCATATATATTAGATAATACACCATCATTTATGGACTGTCATCTAAAGTGTTTCTGATTTCTCTTGTCCAATTAGTGACTCCAATCTGTTAAAATATCCCCTCATGCTCTTATTTTGGAGTATATGTACATTGTAACTTTGTGGTAATGTATCCAGATGTATAGTATAGTATGACATTACCCAGTAAGATGTATTCATGTAATTATTTGTACTACTTCTTTGTTTTTTATTATTATCAGGCTCACCTTTGTCATTCTCTGAGATCAGTTTTGATCAGATGGATCCAACATTGCATTCCAAAACTCCAAACATAAATAGAACTAAAGTCACAACCTTATTAAAGTTTTTATTCCCTAGTCCTTCAGACATTTCTCTGTTTCCAGCTGATATGGACAACCCTGCGCTAAAACATGTGTCTTTCGGTTTGGTTAAAATAATTTATTTATTCTAATCTGCAGTATTATTGTTTGTTATTGAATAAAAAACAATTCCAAAAGATTTGGTGTGTTCTGTGCATCAGGAGGGTTTGGTTGACTGAGATCTTATCAGATTTTGTGACATAATAACAGCTTGTGACAGTTTGTTTTAAAAAAAACAAAAACAAAACAGAATATTCAAATACCAACCCAACAAACCAACATTCAAATAGCAGAATATTCTGGTCCAGCCCCAGTAATAGCATTATAGTGTACTATTACTAAATTGGTTCTCAGCGATTCAAAATGAAAAGTGTAATTTGTTTTTGCCTAACCTCTTGTCTTCTTCCCTTGTACTTAGAGTATAGGTACCCAATACTTATTTACACCTCACATATACAAAATAATTACACTGTAGGCTAGTTTAAAGGATCTAATCAAAAGCCTCACTGTTTTCTTGTGTCCTGTTAGTGACTATTCAAAATGTCACTAATGCTCTCTTGAAAATCATATCACAAGATAAAGTGTTACAGCTTACCATGATGTCCTCCATAGGTGCAGACAAATGTAAAACAGTGAAATACCAGCAGAGAGGTGTATGTCAGTCTATCCATTAGGCTCGACATCACCTGAGATCATGAAGATAATCTAAAGCACTCGCTACTGAAGGGGCTTATTTCACTTGTGACAAGCTCACCACTTCCTGTCCTATATTCGAAGACCATCCTGCACACCTCAGTTTGTCACACAGTTCACAATGTGCACACACATGAAAATAGCATACTGTGTATTATCTTTGCAACTTAATTCTGTAATACACCCTTACAGAAACACTTACTGATGTAGGTCTTCCTCAATACAAAACCTGTGACACAAAGTTCTAAAAGTTATTAAGTGGCCATGTCACTTTAGGAGAGAGGGGAATCGCCTTTGTAAGCAGCCCAACAGGAAGTTGTTACATCCTGGCTTCAACGTCAGACGGAGGCCTTAGTTACATTATCTTTCCTGTTGGTGACTAAAAGGAGATTGAATCAATTATAACACGAAAAGTATAAGCGAAAAAGATAAACTATATGCGTGCTTGTAAACAGCTTGCATTAGTCAGCAGTGAGTACCAGAGGCCGCCTGAATGTTATCATCATCTTTATAAAATAATAAGACGCTTGCCTGCTTCCCTTATCCAATCTGTGCAAATATCTGCAGCTGCTGCATCTGAACAAATGACCAAGTCTGCCAGAGTGCAATCACAAGCAGTTACTGTGGCTTGGATAGAGCGTTTTCAACACTATTTCTAAAAGTACTCCATGTTATCACTAATGCAGATGATTGGTGCATGTGGATGTATTGCATCATCTTGTGTATTCTCAATAGACATGTGGTGTATTGATACCATATATATATCTATATATATCTTGTTTGTTTCAATTTAACCAGTAGATGGTGTAAGATAACATGTAATCTTTTATAGCAGACTGTGGACATGTACTTGCTCAGTGGTATGTGACTCTCCCAGACTGCTCCAACAGCGCCCTCCAGTGTATAACGTGGTCCTGTCTACTGCATATGAGTACATGGTTATGTCTAGCATTAAGTACCTCTACCTGCTCCTTGGCTCCTTGCCCACCTGGATGAGCAGAATATAAGTGAAGTCCACTACAGTCCTGAGGTGAGGGTGATCATTTACTGTACAGCCCACCATCTCTCACTGTCCAGTCAGACGTTTTCTCAAGCTACAAAAGCACTACAGCCTTCAAGGGGTTAACAAATATGCAATCTGTTTTAAAATCCAATGTCAATCATTTATCCATCTAAAACAACTGATATTCAACAGCTGAAATGATCAACACTTTCCGTGGATCATGCTCATTCTGAGTTGCTATTTTTAGACTGATTTTACTGCATTGTGCATATTGCTGTCACATCTCTGAATGATCATTGCACTCATAAAGGTATATTTGTACTCTTGACAAAGCTGCTGTTTGTAAACTGGACTTTCAGTTGAATGTGAAAAAAGGTCAGTGACTTCCTCATGTTGCTCATCAAGAAAATTTGCACAATCATGCAAATGAGACAATAGAGCAACAAGAGCAAACACACAGTTAAGGGTCAGCTCACCTCACCTAGATCTACCCTGTGGTCTCTAGCGATGCAGATATTTTCGACTACTTAGAAACGTTTTAATACAAGTGTTCCTAAGACTTCTGCCACAATTGAAGAGATAACATGTGCGTGTTTGTTTGTGTGTGTGTGTGTGTGTGTGTGTGTGTGTGTGTGTGTGTGTGTGTGTGTGTGTGTGTGTGTGTGTGTGTGTGTGGAGTCAGAAACCATAGTACACAGGAAATCAAAATAACACACAAAAAGACCACTGTATGATCTCTCTCTCTCTCTCTCTCTCTCTCTCTCTCTCTCTCTCTCTCTCTCTCTCTCTCACACACACACACACACACACACACACACTCTCTCTCTCTCTCTCTCTCTCTCTTTCTCTCTCTCTCTCTGTCTCTCTCTCTTTCATCTCTATATCTCTGCCCTGGCCTGTGTGCACTCAGATACAACAGCAGAGAGATCAGTGAGATCAGTGTCAAGCTCAGGGTTGTTCTTACTCACTGGTACCTGCCACCTGTTGAACATCCAGATTCTGTGGGCTCATCATGGGAAACTGCACTTCAGGGTAAGTAATCATCATTACATTGACATAGTCAAGGAAACTCTCACATGCCACAAAGCAATAGATCAGCAAGTGATGATTACATTCTCTGAGCTCTGAAACTGCTGCATATATCGAAAACTTTTACCTTAGAACACAAGTGATTTGAGTGAGGGCATTTAAAAATATGAGAGAGCTGAAAACACTTGTTTAAATGAAACAAAGTTGCATTTTGGCTCTGTAGCAAGCAGCTTCTGCATTTGCTTTAGTGAGGAAATAGCTAAGAATAGATTCAGTTTCATCGTCTTCAACTGTGGTGAATAGGTTAATAACTTTGCAGCCTTGCTGAGCAATACAGTATATATTTGATGTGAGATGTTGACCTAGAAGCAGATAAAGTTTGAAATGCTGTGCCGTAGTCACTGATATAGACAGTTGGACATAGACAGATGTGGGCTGTAGGCATATGTAAAGTGTTTCCTGTTGCACCACATACGCTGTCATCTGTTAAGCTGTCAAGGAAACACTGCTGTGGTGTGAAACCTCTAAAAAGCTTATAAATATTATCTTGTGATGTTTTAATAATATTAAAGACATTATTTTTATATTTTTATTCATCCCACAATAATGGTTTCATTGCTCTGTGTGTTTAATGGTAAAGATCTCCTTTAAAGGTCCTTATTATGGTCTCATCATTTCCTTTTGCTCTATTTTAGGATAAAGATGAAAAGGAAAGGTAAAACAAAATTTGTAATGGTATTTATAGTATTTAGTATATATAGTATGAATATTGTACACAGTTTTGCAACATTTTATATATTTATGTTTTCTCTTTCAGGGGGTTCTTCTCCAGATGATAACAGAAGCGCAGATAATAAGGTAGACCTTCCCACATCAATGTTTAGTCTATTTTTGTTATAGTTATCAGCTTTCCATTGGGCATGGGTGTGTTTCTGTGCTTTTATGATAGCCCAGTCAGAGGTGCTGCCTTGTTAAATTTGCATACTGGGAGAACATTAGTGTGAGGCCTCTGTTGTAAAAGAAACTGTGAAGCTATTTATTTCATGTGCAGGAAGTTAGAACCACTAACCACATAAAAAAAAAAAGTGCTGTGTGCAGTATCAATGTACAAAGAAGTAGAATAAATTATGTGTAACATATGTTCAGGAACGAGGAGTTCCCATCTCACTGCATATTATTTCATGACAGCCTAAGGAGGATGTAACGTATGCCTCTATTGACCACAACTCTGCCAAAGGATCAAGAAGAACCAGACCTACCCCTGACGATGATTGTGACTATGCAACAGTTAATATCCCAGCAGCACTTCAACCTCAGTCTGACAGCTCATCTAAAGAAGAATGTGATGATGATTATGTACTCATGGGGTGAACAGAAACTAGAGGTAACGTTCATTCAGGCTGTTGGAAGATGCAGGATCAGTAGATAATATCTCAAGTGGGAGTGAGTGTCTAATATTGTGTAATGACATCCAAGAACTTGTTTGCTGTTGAACTGCCAAGTTTCCAGTCAAACTGTTCATCAGATCTTCTCAATCATCTTCAATGAAGAAACTGTGATAAAATAAAAAAGCAAACACCCACAGTCAACAGCAGCTGGTTGTGGAAACACCAAGCCCCATGATGTTTCCCTTCACTTTTGAGGTAACCTCAAACCTGAACACAACCGTGGTGTTCCTTCCCCAAGAAGACAAACTCGCATCACATCTGACCTCTTTACAGAGGAAACACAACCTCAGGAGGATAAACTGCAGCTCTTTAGTCTGATATGCCTGGATTCCTGAAACTTCATCACATTATCTGGAATCAGTGAGACAGGAAAAGAAACTGGACTTGTTTTAATTTTGGTCAATCATACAAAACATCATACCATTTACACCATTACCTGAATATCAGAATTTAGTAGTGAAGTGCCAAACTTTGATGTAATTCTAACATCTTTTAAAGGTCCAGTGGGTGGGATTTAGTGGCATCTACTATCATTCACCAAGCGTGTAGAACTTATGGTGGCCAGAAATCTCCCAAAAAGGAGAACATTTTTGGGAGATTTGTGTCCTGCAGAGCCAGTGTTTGGTTTGCCCTTTCTGTGCTGAACATGGTGGTTCAACATGGCAGACTCCATAGGAGAGGACCCGCTCCCTCTGAAGATAAAAACGTGTCATTCTGAGGTAACAAAAACACAACAATTCCTATTATACACTAATGAAAACATACATATGAAAATCATGTTCCAGTTCTGCCAATAGATTATCCTTAGTGTTACACACTGGACCTTTAAACAGTTCTGACTGCCAACATTTTTGTTTTCAGGAAAATTAGTCAACAAAATTGTTGTTGTGTGTGTGTATATGAGGAATAGTTTGTTAGAACAATATCTGGAGTCAAATGAAATTTAACCGTGTCCTAAATTCATACCAAAGGTTCTAAGCAGGGTTTTAAGTATGTGTGTTTACACTGGAAAAGTGACAAAATAAACTAGGCTTTAGTCAGTATGCAGATTGAATACAGTCGATTTCTGAGTGTGCTGTTGATGGATACTATTCTCCCATAATGCAATGCACACAGCTGAGCTAAACAAATGTTAATAAATTGGGGGCTTGTGGTGTTTGGGGAAATGTTTATCTTTCTGAAGTTTCACTGGCTAAATAGTTTTTCAAATCTGCAGCTTAATTGACATCTGCCTAATTCCAGTTTCCCTTATGTTGAAATAGTATACTTTGATGATTAGGACGCAGTACATAGTGTACTGAATTACTATGTAATATGGTTTTTGGACCCAGTAGCTTCTGACAAACTACTGTTAGTGGCAACATGTCCTGATTGACTGAGGATCTTAAAGTCACTATGTGTCAAATATTTTTATTATTTTGATGGCTTACATTTTTGCTTGAAGAAAAATGTGTCTTCAGAATTGATGCATTCAGTGTGACTTTCAATGTCAATGGGTGTATGTGCTTTTTCCACCATGAAAGGAAAAGAACAGGTCTGTAACCCTGTAAACAGAAAATGACTCTGTACTACTGTGAGTACACCTGCTGTCACTCTATTTCGTATTGCAGATGAAAGTTTGATCTGTATCTATGTTCTTTTGAAATAGAGCCAAAACTGTGCTCCACCTTGAAGCGAAGTTTCAGTTGTCGAAACTTACCCCACGTTAAGCACAAACTTAAAATGTTGCAATCTGTGCCATTGCCACATTATTATATCAACGAAGATAGAATGTAATGTTTATATAATTGTGTCCATGACAAATACCTTAATCTGCATTTCAAGGTTTGTGCTTATTTTGCAACTTAGTGCTCCTGAGAATTGCTGCATACAACCCAAAATATACTACAAATAGATATTTAAGATCTGAGAATTTATGTTTTTATGTTTTGTATGTGTATGCAAAACACCTTTCTGTCTCTACCTGTATCTATAAATAACTATTTATGTTTTACTGTATGCATATGAAATGGTAGAGTAGTGTAATTTACTGTAAGCCGCCTTGGTTTCATTGTGGTTTTATTGATTTTTTTATTGATTAAAAGTTTACAGAGTACCACTTTTGTTCATGATACTGTTGTATCAATCAACTGTTTCACTGAAAATGTTTGAAATAAGTTCAAAGAGAAGAAATTGTGTTAATGTGTTCACCAGAACGGACCACTGAAAAACCAATGGTGGAATGTAACTACGCACAAACAGCTCAAATGATGATGTTTTAGTCTTATACAAAATGGTTCAAAATTAGAAAACAGTAAAATGCTGCATAATTATCTAATGATGATACAATACATACTAGCAAAATAGTCACAGGGGAAATTTTTTTGCGTTACTTTTACTTTTAATACTTTAATATTTCCCTGAATATACTTACATACATTAACTTAAGCTTTTCAATGCAGGACAAAGTATTTTACAGTGTGATATAAGTACTTTTGCTTAAGTAAAGGATCTGACGACTTCCTCCACCACTGAGACATACTAAGAGAGTCCAAGTTTGTCATGGTCTGTGGACAGAAATACATTCGTGAGGTTTCCTCTTTTCTGTCCAACTAAATAATCAGTTTGAAGGTAAGATGAGCCGCCTACAATTAAATATCAGAATTCAAAACAGAAAGAGCAGACTCTGGCTTCAGGGGACTCTGGATTTTGTTCCCAATCACTTACAGTGGAATAATTAGGAAGGCATCTCTTAATAGCCAGTATGAACATTGTGAATTATTACAGGAAGCAAAAACAGTTTTAATATACATATGATTCTTGTGTTAAGAAAACGTTCAGCAGTTCTATATGTATGTGTGTATTATTATCATTATTAGACATCCTAACATTTACTTTGCATGATCATGATGCTGGACAATGTTCTGATCTCCACCAGTAGATGGCAGAACAGTCCCTTAGGGTTGGCGTAGGGCTCCACCTCCTCCACTTCCTCCATTTCCACCACATCCTCCATCTGAAAGAAACAGAGAGGTGTTATGAACAAAACTTAACAGTGTGCAGTAAAACACACAGAACTGCAGAGTTTACCTACTGGTGGTGATTTGGATGGTGAGGTGTTGGACTGCTGGCATCACCTGGAAAAAGGTGGATACACAACCCAGCTCAGTGACTCAACAAAGAAGAATGCAAGTAGTCATTACAGTGATCATTCATCAAATAAAAATTTTTACCTCAACATTAGTTTCTTTTGTGCAAAATATAAAAGTCCTGTCAGAAGCACAATGATTGGCACAACAATAAGGATGCACAGCCAAGGATCATAACCTGCTGTGAGTGAAGATTAAAGGTTTGTTAATAATGTGCTGGACATCAATGCTACACATCAAATCTATTTTATTTAATCTATTCTAAATTATAATTATCCCTATAATATAAAACACCATTTAGTCATTGTTTTCCCAAAAAACATAAAACAGCTTTATATTTAATAATTATAGCTTCTGCACTAAGCCCAGAGATGAAACCCTTTCTGTTGTGCTATCCATTCTTCACCTTTTCTGTGTTTTGGTACAAAAATCTGTTCCTCTCTCCAGTACGGGTGCCTGATAACACAGCTCAGGTTTTCTGGATTCATTCCCTCAAGGAACTCCAGACGACTTTCGACTGTAAAAAATCCTTTTGAGTCAATCACTGGCTCCCCAGCCGTCAAGTTTTCCATATGACTCCAGGTGATGCTGGCTGCAGGTTTTCCTCTTTCAGCTTTGCACACTGCCACCACCATGTTGTCCTTACGCTCTAACCAGGCTGATATAGTGGGAGGAACTGAGCCAGGGAAGAACAGGAGAAATAAGACTCACTGAATACCTCTAACCATGCAGATAAAGTTCAAATTTGCTTGCCTTGTCACAGTTTCACTTGTATAATAACATTGCAGACAGTAAGATGCATCATTCAGAGTAAAAGGGACATTGTGTCTAAAGTAACTGAAAAATTAATCCCATTATCCTCCTTCGTGTAATGGAAGAAAACATGATCAGTAGCAGGTATTTCAAAATCTAAGAAAGTAAAACAAACATGCAGTATAACAGATGGCACTAGAGGTAAGCAGAATGTTCTGTTTTATTAAGTGTGATTTGGTGAATTGACGCCTTAAGAAGTTCAATGGTTTTTGAATTAATTTATCCTTGTGAGGAGAGAATTCATACCTGTGATAGACACGTCGATCTTGTAAGTTTCACCTCCTCCCTTGTAAGCTGTATCACACTTGTAGATCCCCACGTCATCATTTGAGAAGTTTGGGATGTGCAGGTAGAATTCATCACTGGATGTGCTTTGCAGGGACTTGCCATCATTGCAGGAATCTAAACTTTGGCCATCATTGCTAAAAGATATCTCACAGTCTTTGTATTTCAAGTCTATCTTCCAGATAACATATATTGTCTCATTTACTGTCTTATCACTGCATGTGAGATCAGCATCACTCCCCATCTTGAAAGTTGTATGTCTGTCAACTGAAAAAAAGAAAATAAGTTGCATTATGTTTGAAAATAAAGGTGCAATTATTGTGCTGATGTTTTGATTTTATTTATTATTTTATTATTTAAAAAAATACATATTATGCCCTAATATACACAAAAACATGCAAAACAAAAAGAATAAAACAATTCAAGATTCAGTTCTGCAGATGTTTTGAATGACAAAAGTAGGATTACTAAGGAAAGGAAGCATAGAAATGTATGTTGCCCTGTTTGGCTTCCTGTGCCTTCACTACTAATATTCTAATATTAATAGTCTTATTAAACATTTTATTCTTTCTTGCAAAATAACCAGGGAGAAAAAGGAGAAGATTTACCGGTATATTTGAAAGGGGTAGTAGTGTTGGAGTTTGCAGAGGTGTTTTGATTAGTTCCTGAGAGAGATTGGCGTGGATGTAAGGACAGAGTTAGTAAAACAGAAGTTAGTGAAGTGTTCAATCAGCAGAGCAACAATGAAGGTGGTTCATCTGTTATTCCTTATTTAGTTTAGTTAGTTAAGGTGTGAAGGCTTGTGATTAAAACTGGTCTAACATGACCAGCTGCAGCAGGGCTAAATCAAAGAACACAGACTGATTCCTGAACTTTTTCCAAACAGAAAAAACGAATCTAGAGGAAGGAAATAACCAAAGCTTAAACATGAAACTATTATGTTATAATCTCCCCATTTTGGTCTCACGCTGTAGAAGAAGCTGATGACATCAACATCCATGCTTCATTGGCTGACATTTAGTGTCACGCAAGGTCTGAGAAGTAAAACACGAGGTGGGGTGGCAAAACCACCGATCTCAAACAGTTGTTATACACATTATTGTGTTAATGTTTTGATTTTATTCTGATATGAAACAATAACACAGTGTGCATGTCCTAATATATACAAAAACATTCAAATGCAATAAAACATAGATTCAATTCTGTTTGAGGCATGGACAAGTGAAGACAAATTAAAATAAAATATATACGATAAATAACATGTAAGACATTTAGGTATGGATCACATGACATACAAACACATTATAAAATAAATCATATAGATGCTTTATGTGTAATATTGACAGTAAAACATACCCATATACAGGATTTTATCTAAGATTTGTACTAAGAGGAAACTTTCTTAGCAGTTATGGTGGATTAAACATTTGGTTACTATTAGTCTAAAATGATAATGATTCAATTTAATTTGAAATAAATTGAAACAGGTTTAGAGTATCCATGACCTCTGCAGACAAATGTTAAACAGTAAAATATCAGAAGATTTGTGTATGGCAGTCTATCCATAAGGCTTGACATCACCTAAGATCTTAAGGTTTCTTTTAGGTAATCTTTTCTTGTGATAAGCTCACCACTTTCCTCCTACATACATTTGAAAACTATCATGCACATCTGTGTCACGAAATAACACAGTTACCAATGACACACAATTATGAACTCATGGGGTAAATACAGGCTGTTGGAAGATGCAAGACTAGCAGACATGTTGCAAGTTAGTGCTCCTGAGAATTGCTGCACACCACGCAAATATACAAGAAATAGATATTTAAGACTTGGAAATTAGTTTTTTTTATCTACCTACAGCAGTATTTATATGTTTGACTGGATGCATATTAAATGGTAGAAAAGTGTGATTGACTGTATTTCCCATATGTTTCAGTACATATTTTATGTATGCCTCATAGTTATAGTTAATGACTCCAATCTATTCAAAATGTCCCCTTGTGCTCTCTTGAAAGTCACATCACAAGATAAAACAGTGTTACAGCTTACCTTGACCTCTGCAGACAAATGTAAAACAGAAAAATATCAGAAGTTTTGTGTATGGCAGTCTATCCATTAGGCTTAACTTGTTCATCACTTGAGACCTTAGAGATAATCTAAAACTATATCTTCTGCATGCCCTCATTTTTCTTACCACTTCCTGGCCTTCTACATACATTCGAAAACAATCCGCCACATCTGTGTATTTCAGTGTGTCATGAAATCACACACTGCCTGATGTACACACATGAAAATTGCATACTGTGTTTTATCTTTGCAATTTAGTTCTGCAATATACCCTTTACAGAAACGCTTATTTATGTAGACATAGGTCATCCTTATTACAAAACCTGAGACACATAGTTCTAAAGGTTATTAAGTAAACTTGTCACTTCAGGGTAGTGGGGAATCACCTTCGTAAGCAGCCCAACAGGAAGTTGTGAATCTTCTCTGTACATCCTTTTAAGGACTGACCACAACACTCCCAGAGAATCACTGACGATGATTGTGACTATGCAACAGTTAATGTCCCAGCAGCACTTCAACCACAGTCTAAGAGCTCATCTAAAGACGAATATGAAGACGATTATAGTCCCTGTTTTATTTATACCTCATATAAATAAGTTAATGACTCCAATCTATTCAAAATGTCCCCTTATGCTCTCTTGAAAGTAACATCACAAGATAAAACAGTGTTACAGCTTACCCTGACCTCTGCAGAGAAATGTAAAACAGTAAAATATTAGAATATTTGTGTACGGCAATTTATCCATTAGGCTTGACATGTTCATCACTTGAGACCTTAGAGATAATCTAAAGCTATATCTGCTGCATGCCCTCATTTCATTTGTGAAAAGATCACCACTTCCTGGGCTCCTACATACATTCTAAAACAATCCTGCATGTCTGTGTATTTCAATGTGTCGTGAAATAACACAGTGCCTGATGTACACACATGAAAATTGCATACTGTGTTTTATCTTTGCAATTTAGTTCTGCAATACACCCCTTACAGAAACACTTATTTACACAGACATATGGGTATGACTCTTATCCCTGTACCACTGCATAAAATAAACCTAGTCTGCGGGTTGGTCACTGGGGAGGTGGCAGTTGGAGTGTGCCCAGCATTCCCTGTGGATGGGGCGGATATAGTTCTTGGAATTGACATGGCGGAAATAAAGTTTGGGCAGACATTCCTGTAGCTAGTATAGTCACCAAAGTTCCTCTACCTAATGTATTCACTCAGATTCCTGAAGCTAGTGTGGTCAACCAGATTCTGTGGCAGTTTCCTTTAGTCTCAGATGGGGAAGTAACAGCTTCTGAACCTGAGGTAGAGTTGTTCCTGGCTGGTGCAGTAACTCAAGCAAAGCGCCACCGTTCTCATCCAGGGGATACGGAAGAAGGTCCACAGATGTAGAAGCTTTTGCGTTGGTTATTTGTGGGCAGCAGTCCTTGTTTGTTTTGCAGGCATTACTTTTCTTTTCACAAGAATAATTATGTCCGTAAAAAAGATCACTTATGACACGACACATACAGCAGGCAACTGCCAAGTGGTACGATAGGAGGGACTGCGTTGTTATAGAGTCATTTATAGCAGACAACAAAGAGGTTGAAGTCACTTTTGATAGAGCAAAGACTGGTTTCAGTAGTTTTGGAGGAACAGTCAAGGTCTAACAACCAACGCAAAAGGTTCTCCATCTGTGGACCTTCTTCCATACCCCTGGATGAGAACGTTGGCGCTTTGCTTGAGTTACTGCGCCAGCGAGGAACAACTCTACCTCAGGTTCAGAAGCTGTTACTTCCCCATCTGAGACTAAAGGAAACTGCTCAGAGCTACCACCGATGATGATTGTGACTATGCAACAGTTAATGTCCCAGCAGCACTTCAACCTCAGCCGGACAGCTTATCTAAAGACGAATGTGAAGAAGATTATGTACTCATGGGGTGAACAGAAACTAGAGAAAACGTTAATTCAGGCTGTTGGAAGATGCAGGACCAGTAGATAATATCACAAGCGGGAGTGAGTGTCTAATATTGTGTAATGACATCCAAGAACTTGTTTGCTGTTGAACTGCCAAGTTTCCAGTCAAACTGTTCATCAGATCTTCTCAATCATCTTCAATGAAGAAACTGTGATAAAATAAAAAAGCAAACACCCACAGTCAACAGCAGCTGGTTGTGGAAACACCAAGCCCCATGATGTTTCCCTTCACTTCTGAGGTAACCTCAAACCTGAACACAACCGTGGTGTTCCTACCTCAAGAAGACAAACTTGCATCACATTTGACCTCTTTACAGAGGAAACACAACCTCAAGAGGATAAACTGCAGCTCTTTAGTCTGATATGCCTGGATTCCTGAAACTTCATCACATTAGCACATTATCTGGAATCAGTGAGTCAGGAAAAGAAACTGGACTTGTTTTGGGAATTTTGGTCAATCATACAAAAGGTCTCAACAGTGTTGAGGAATCTCTGTATTTCAAAAACTCATTCCTCGCGTGTTCTTTTAATGAAGCGATAGGGGAAGATTTAGTTTACTCAATAATCAGCTTTATTCTTAACACCAGTAGAATGTGCAAAATTTACAGAGCTATGGGTTAACGGTTAACCTGACATGCACAAGGTCTGCCAGTTCACAAAGTCTGAGCAACCTCTTGTTCCTAACATCAGTTCTTATATTTTTGCAGATAACACACATAGCACAAGATGGTATTATCTCCACCCCTTGTCCTCTTGGTATCTTGTCTCCAAGGATGGTGTTGATGGGGTAGCCAAAACCTGAGTTGTTTTTCACGACTGGAAGGAGTCCGTCCTGTGTTCTATCATTGTTTTTACGAGCTCATGACACTGACCTCGGAGGCCGTGTTTACCGCTATCTTTCCCAAAGAATGTCATGTTATATCTGCAACTACCCACACTCTTCTCCCTTATACTGTTCCTGCTATTCATATTCATTAGTAAGTTACAATTCTATAACACATCATACAAACGTCTAATATTCATTACTTTATTTCTGTTATTAGTATTCCCTTAACAGCCCTTTATCAATGTAAGCATAATCAATGTAAGCACAAGTAAACATATTTCTATTCTAGTTAATAATCATACAGGTAAATTATATATGAGTATAAATCACAGAATATCGCAACAGTCCCCCTTTTGGTCCCATAGAAACTGGGACCACCACCTGAAAGCAAAAATCGATTTATGGCAGACCTT